TCGGCGTCGGGAGGGCGGCCCCTCGGGAGCAGAAGCGAGAAGCGCCCCCGCCCGAGCTCCAGGGAGCCGTGGGGCAGAGGCCGCGGAGTCCGGGAGGGGTAAGCGGTGGGTTTTCGGGCCCGGGGCGAGCAGGCTGGGGTGAAGTCACCGCGTGCCGGGGGCCTTGGGGTGTGGGCAGGGGAGAGTTCTGATCGTGTGGCTGGGTGTGAGGACAAGGACGGACCGCCCCGGAGCAGGCGCTCCGTGGGAAGATCCGCGAGGACAAGACTGATGGGGTGGGGGTCTCACCAGGCTCAGCTGCGGACGTTCGGTCCCCACGCCTTCCTGCTGTCATCGCTCAAGATTGCGAACGTGTCATAAAAGCGTCCATCAGCACCTCTGTTCTCTGATCTAAGTGTCTGCTGATCTGCAGTCAGGTCTGCTCTTGTTTGCTTCACACGTTGTGGCGCAGAAGTGTGCAGGGATTATTTCTTGCAGCCTCAGTTGCTAGAGAAAGAGATCGGGCTTTAACAGATGGGTCACATGTGCGAAGTCACCAGATTTGTGGGTAGAGTTGCTCGTGGTAGATAGAATTCAGGAGTCTTGTTTTCCAGTTCAGTGTTCTGTCTCTCTTATCCCCGTTTTTCTTTCTTTCTTTCTTTCTTTTTTTTTTTTTTTTGAGTCGGAATCTCACTTTGTCTCCCAGGCTGAAGTGCAGTGGCACGCTGCACAGGGCCACCGCAGCCTCGACCTCGACCTGCAGGGCTTACCGCGATCCTTCCACCTCAGCCTGCCAAGTAGTTGCAATTACAGGCACGAGCCACCACACCTAGCTAATTTTTTGATTTATTGTAGAGACGAAGTCTTGCCATATTGCCCAACCTGGTCCCCAACCCGCGGACTCAGGCAATCCTTTCACCTCTGCCTCCGAAAGTGCTGGAATTACTGGATGAGCCACCGCACCCAGCCCCCAGTTTTCTTAATAAAAGAATGTTGGATGCAGATTTAGTAAGAACTTTTTTTATTTTTTTTTTGAGTTAGAGTCTCACTCCTTCGCCCTGGCTGGGGTGCAGTGGCACGCACGCTCACGGCCACCCCGGCGTCGACCTTCTGGGCTCCAGCGATCCTTCTGTCTCAGCCTGCCTAGTAGCCGGAACTACAGATGCCTGCTACCACTCCCAGCTATTTTTTTTCTTCTTAATTTTAGTGTAGAGACGAAGTCTGGCCAAGTTGCCCGGATTGGTCTTGAACGTGCGGGCTCAGGCAATCCACTCGCCTCGGCCTCCCAAAGTGCTGGGATTACAGGCTGAGCCACCGAGCCCGGCCTAGCAAGAACTTTTAAAAACAAAATTACACCTTGTGCACATAAATCCCAACTCCTGTGGTTTCTTTTATTTTAAGCAATTTAAAGAGAGAATAAGAAAATATGTGAGCAACAAACATAACGGGTTTTTTCTTTTTGCACATTGTATTTGACAGTGCAGACTATTTGTAAAGGAGTCAATGTTTCCATTTACCCCTGAGGGCATTATCTAATTATCACTGTCATGTTGGCTACAAAGGTACAGACGTGTGCTTCTGCTGTCTCACGCATTTAGCCACTTCTGAGTGTTCACAGGGTGTAATTTTACTGAATTTTCTTTGGTGGTTCTTATACAGGAGATTCCTGCCTATACAGGCCAGAGTTCTCAAGATTTCAGTTACCTGCTTCTCCTCCCCTTGGTCCATCATCAACAGTCTCTGCACATTTCTAAGAATAGCAGAAAATGAACCAATCACAGGTGAGTTTTCCAGTTTGTGTACTATATGTTGCCCGATTTTGTTTTGTAATGCATTTTAGGAGATTTATAAGGATTCATACATACTTTAAAATGGGAATGTTGAAATGGGTACTAGACATTACCATGTACAATACAGTTAGAGTGTCTGATTAGCAAGTTCGTTTGCCAAGTTCATATGTGTAGGTAGAATGATTTCTTTCTTTTTTTTTTGAGTTGGAGTATCTCTCTGTTGCTTAGGCTGGAGTGCAATGGCATGCTCACGGCCACCACAGTCTCGACCTCCTGGGCTCAGGTGATCCTGCCTCAGCCTCCTGACTACCTGCGTCACCACACCTAGCTAAGTTTTCAGTTTTTTGTAGAGACAAAATCTGGTTATGTTGCCTAGGCTGATCTTGAACTCCTAGGCTCAAGCAATCCTCTTACCTCGGCCTCCCAAAGTGCTGGGATTATAGGTATGAGCCACTGTGCTTGGACCCTGAAGAACTTTCTTTATCATTTCTTCTAGTTGGTGGTGAATCTGTCAGATTTTGTGTGTCTGAAAATGTCTCCATTTGCCTTTGCTTTTAAAGGGATTTTTGTTGGATTTTTTTCCCCAGTGCTTCACTGTCTTCTTGCTTACATTTTTCCAAGAGGAATCTGATCTTATTCTAATCTTTATTCTGCCATATATAGCATGCCTTTTTTTTCCTTGCTGCTTTTAAACTTTTCTCTTTAGAACTGGTTTGAGGCAATTTGATTGTGATATATTGTGGTGTCATTTTTTTTTCCCCCATGCTTCTGTCCTTGAAGATTGTCCAACTTCTTTGGTCTTGGGTTTATGATTTTTATCAATTCTGGGGAAATTTCAATCATTTCTTCAAATACTACTTCCTCCTTCCCCCAGCTTCCTTCATCAGTTCTTGTTGCCTGTATATTAGGCTACTTGAAATTGTTCCACAGCTCACTGGTGCTCTTTATTTGCATTTAAGTCTTTTTTGTTTCATTTTATATAGCTTTTTCATATTCACTTGTCTCTCTTTTCTGCGGTTACTCTTATCCATTATAATTTTCATATCAGATATTGTAGTTTTTAACATGTAGAAGTTCACCTTGGGTCTTTTTTATATCTTACCTGTCTTCATGTTTTTTTTTAACATTTGGAATACAGTTATGAACTATTTGAATGTTCTGTCAGTTCTAATATGTGTCAATTCTGAACGAGTTTGTAATGACTATTTTCTTCTTTATGAGTTACATTTTCCTGCCTATTTTCTCTAATCTCTGAACTCTTTTTCTCCTGATCTCTGCTCTTTTTTCCTTGGAAACTCTCAAGGCAGAAGCTGTAGGGTTCAACTTGTTTATTTCTCATCTCTCATGGATAGCTAGCTGTCCTTCACTGCCAGATGTTCAGTGTGTCTTGAAAATCATTGCTTTATATGTTTTTTTTCTTTTCTTTTCTTTTTTGTATGTGTTGTTTCAGGTGAGAGGGAAAATCTGTTAGTTTATCATGACTGAAAGCAGAAATCCTAATGTCTGTATTTTGAGTCATAGTTAAAAACCTTTCCCCATGTCAGGGTTGTAGAGAAATTCACCCATTTTTTTCTGTATGGTTTAATATGTTACATTTAAATTACTAACCAGGCTTGGTGGCTCAGCCTGTAATCCCAGCACTTTGGGAGGCTGAGGTGAGTGGATAGCCTGAGCCCGCGGGTTCGAGACCCACCTGGGCAACTTGGCAAGACCTCATCTCTACAATAAATCAAAAATTAGCTGGGCCTGTAATTCCAGCTACTTGCAAGGGTAAGGTAGAAGGATCGCAGTGGCCGGAAGCAGCCACTGCACTCCAGTCTGGGTGACAGAGTGAGACTACAATTCAAAAAATAACTAACTAACTAAATAAGTTACTAATCTAGTGGAGTTTATTGTTTTATGGTATAATAAGGATAGTTTTATCTGTGTTCAAATGGTATCAGTTACTCTAATACCATTTATTATCTATCAGTTCTGCTTTAGCGATTTGATGAGTCCCCATTCTCATATAAAATCTTAAGAGTCTTATTTCTAAGTTTTGTTTCCTAGCTCATTGGTCTGTCTATATTCATGTACCAGTACCAAACTATTTCACTCATAGAGGCCGTTTTAAATTTGGTAATGTTAGGCCCTTTCATGAATTTTTTTTTTCCCCCTAGCTGTTCTTCGTTTTCTTCCCCCTCATATGAACTTTAGTGTCAGCTTATCTGGTTCTAAGGAAAAACTTTTTGGTATTTTATTGGGCTCACATATTTATAAAGTAACTTAGGCTATATTATTAAGTTGACCTATACAAGAAAAAGGAATATTCCATTATGTCTTTCAGGAACATTTTAAAGTTTTTCTGTTAACAGATTTTTTTTTTTGAGTCGGAGTCTCACTCTGTCACTCAGACTGGAATGCAGTGGCTGCTCCCGGCCACGGCAGCCTCGAGCTGCTGGGCTCCGGGATCCTTCTGCCTCAGCCTTCCAAGTAGCCGGAATTACAGGCATACGCTACCACGCCCGGCTGATTTTTTTATTTATTGTAGAGATAAGGTCTCACTGCTCAGGTGGGTCTCGAACCCGCGGACTTAGGCAATCCACTCACCTCAGCCTCCCAAAGGTGCGGGATTACAGGCTGAGCCACCAAGCCCGGCTTGTTAACAGATTTTATCTTTCAGTTGCCGTTGTAAAACATGTGTTCACTTGACTTACATCTTCTTACTCTTTTTTTTTTTTTTTTGAGTTGGAGTCTCACACTGTCACCCAGACTGGAGTGCAGTGCGCTACCAGCCACCGCAGCCTCGACCTGCTGGGCTCCGGCGATCCTTCCGCCTCAGCCTTCCAAGTAGCTGGAACTACAGGTGTGCGCTACCACACCCGGCTTATTTTTTGATTTATTGTAGAGATGAGGTCTCACCAAGTTGCCCAGGCGGGTCTCGAACCCGCGGGCTCAGGCAATTCATTCACCTCAGCCTCCCAAAGGCGCGGGATTACAGGCTGAGCCACCGAGCCCGGCTTCCTTACTCTTTTTTATGTAATGGGGACTATTGATTTATATATATTAATTTTGTGTCCTTTCACCTAACAGAATTTTTAAAATAAGTTGGTTTTATTATTGATTTGCTGAGTTATATCATCTGCAAATAGTTTTATTTTTTTGTTGTCAATTATATTCTTCTAATTGTTTTCTCTTATTGAAGATAATGAGCATTTTACGTTGTTACTGATCTTAGTGGGAAGGTGTGTAGTGTTTCCCTGTTAAGTAAAATACTGCTTTTGAACTGAGAAGATTGAGGCAAAAATGTATATTTACTTGTGTGTGTGTGCGTGTGTATTTATGTATGTGTGTGTAAACTTAAACTATGTGCTTGCGTGTAATTGAGATATATATGTGTATGTGTATGTCACATGTACGAGAATATACACATTATACATGATGCATATTACGGTATAAGAGTGTATGTATATTTGTATATATACGTAATATTGATATTAATGGAGTGTCTGTCAGTTCTGTTTTCTTGAATTTGTTTTTTTTTTAAATCAGGTATGCATTTTGGATATTGTCAGGCTTTTTCAAATATCTTCAGAGATACTAGATTTTTCTTAGCTGTGTTATAATGGTGGATTATATTATATAGATTTCCAAATACTAAACCAGTCTTTCTTGAAGTAAGTCCCATTTGACTATTATATATTATCTTTTTAAGCTGGTTTGATTTTGTTACCTTGTATTTTCTTTTGGGTATTTGTAGTGATATAAGTGATATTGGAATATCATTTATTGATTGATCAGTCTGCTAACCCCTCCCATCTCTTTGCCTTCTGGACTAACTTAACTCAGAATGTTGTTACTTTATGAATAGTTTTAAGTGATTTTTATCAGCGAAGTGATTTGTCAGCTCATTTGACTGCCTTTGTTTGGATAAATGGATGTTCTGCTTTAGTTTCTCACCCATCAATGTGGCAGCTCTATCTCAGGGACTCTCAGCCTTGGGACCTACACAGTTTTACCTGTATCAGTGGGTGTAAACCCTTTGTTGATGTATCTTTTATAAATAATAAAATAATGTAACATGTTTACTGAGCACTTCCTTTTTCTAAACCAGAAGTTTATAGTTTACAATGCCCAGAACTGTCTGTGACAACAGCACTTGAAAACCCTTGCTTGCTGATCTTTCACTAAGGTTTTTTATACTCTCTTGTTCCTCTTTGTTGGATTCGTGTGGGCTTCAATAGAATATATCATTGAATGTTTTAAACAAGCTATTTTCTTAGATAATAAATGGTCTTCCTTTTCTGAAAATGGCTTTATTATGTTCTTGTGCTTAAATAACAGTTTTGCTTGATAGAGATTGAGCATACCAAATCCAAAAATCCAAAATGCTCTAAAATTCAAAACTTTTTGACACTGACATGATATTTAATGGAAATGACCATTGGAGTATTTCGGTTTTCAAATTTGGAATGCTCAATCTGTAAGTACGATGCAAATATTACACAATCTGAAATCAAAACACTTCTGGTTCCAAGCATTTCAGATAAGGGATACTAACCTGTACATTGCTCTGGGTTCAAAATCATTTTCTTTGAAAAGTTGTAGGCAGTTCTCCATTGTTTTTTATCAGATGAGAAATTGTATGTCACTTACCAAGGTAACTAGTGTCATTTTTTTTTTTCTGTGTAGCTTTTAAAGATTTGTTTCTTATTTACAAAATTTTAGACATTCTATCAGGAAATTCCTGGATCTTTACTTTTCTCTAACATTCTTGTTTGCAAATTTGATGATCCCTTTTGATGGGAAGACTTACATGATTATTTCTTTTTGTCCATCCTTTGTATTCTCTCTTTCTGAAAATGTTGAATCTGTTAGATCTGGCTTTTTTATCCTTAATTTGCTTTATCATTTTCCATATTTGAATCGTCTGAGAGACTTCCTAAGTTGTATATTCTTTGTCCCCTTTGTATATTCTATGTCCTTTCTTATTTGAGAATTTTTAAGAAACAATTCTATAGTTCAGTCCTTAATTTCTAAGTATTCTCTAGTGGCTATTTATTAGAATGTTCTCATTTTATGGAAGCAATATCCTGTCTGCTTTATTTAAAAATATTAATCAGTGGGAACCCAAGTTCTGTTTACTTTACAAATTTGGTTTCATCAGCTTTTGGTTATTTATCTTGATGCTTATTTTACTTATGCTGTTTTCCTCAAACAGCCGATGAGTCTTAGTTTTCTATTTTAAATTGCAAGAAAATAATTGTTAATAGCTAAAGTGAATGCACTCAACTAATGACCCTATTTCAATCCTGTTTGCTTTACAGGGGAGATGGTTGCAGAGTCTGCAGGTAAATAGGGAGGGATGTGTAATTAGATAGGCATCGCTTCATTTGGTATAGTTAGGGAATTGGTAGATAGGGTGAACTTGCTCAAGTTGCTTTACATTGAGAGTAGTTTTGTAAAAGTTGCCTTTAGAGGGAAAAAAATCCATTTCCAATATGGATAGAGTTGAATACGTGTCCTGGATTGCCTGACACAGTCTTGGACTGCACCTATATTCCCGGTATCCTATCTGGTTTATCATTTGTACTGGACAGAAATTTCTGTTTCGACAGTGAATACATGACCACCCTAATTATGGAGCTCTAAAGTGTTGTATATTCCACTGTGGCTGTGTCTGAGTGCTGTAGCCAGAAGGTTCTTACCAGACTCAGCATTCCTCTGGCTGTTCTGTGTGTTTATAGCAGTTCACCACTGTGGCTCAGGTTGCTCAGGTCATCCCATGGCTCATTTCTCTGTCAACTAATCACTCCACTCCCCACTGGAACCCTAGGTCCTTTAGGTGGGCCTACAGATTGTCAGGGGCTCTATTGGAGAGACTGCAGTTTGCTTTTGTTGCAGTGCAACAGTTGTGCCTTCTCCGTGTTTCGAGAATTTCCTCTATGAAACTCATGCTGTTGGGAACCTCTGTACTCCAGTGCTCTTCTGAGAATGTTGTCTATTTTTCCATTTCTTTGAATTTGACTTTTTTTTGGTTTTTGTTTGTTTGGGGGCATGAAGGTAACTGTGTGTTTGATTCCGTCTCTTGAGTTAGAATTGGCCCTTATTATCAAAAAGCTATCCTTAAGAAAATGCCTTCTGGTCTGTTTGGCCTAGTCTTCTGCATCAACCTCTTAACCATTGATGCTGCTTCAGTTTTGTCATTGGTACTTTTTACACCTCATTGTATTCTTCCTCCTCTTAATCCCGTAGAATACACAATTCATCTTCAAGAACTTCAGATTAACTGAGTCAGTCTGTGGAGCCTAATCTGATGGCATAAAGTTAAAATAATTTGATTCTCTTTTGTTAAACCTTTCTTCACTTTGTTTACATCATTATAATATTACCTTTGGGCATTCATTCAGTCACCAAATATTTATTACTGCAAGAATGAGGTGTTTGAGATAAAACTTATAGTAGGCCAGGCATGGTGGTTCACGCCTATAATCCCAGCACTTTGGGAGGCTGAGGTGAGAGAATCGCCTGAGCTCACAGGTTCAAGACCAGCCTGGGCAACTTGGCAAGACCTCATCTCTACCATAAATCAAAAAATTAGCGGGATGTGATGGTGCATGCCTGCATTTCCAGCTACTTGGAAGACTGAGGCAGAAGGATCACCTGAGCCCAGCAGATCGGGGCTGCTTAAAAAAACTTAAAGTAAAAAAGTAGCCATACAGGTAGCCATAGGTCACTGGCTGTGAGACAAAAAGTCCAAAGGATCAAAGAGCTGAACTTGAGTAAGAATCCCAGAGCAGTGAGTTAGGAAGAAGAGAGACCAGGGCTGAGTGGTGGGCACTCCACCGTGAAGAGGTTCAGGAGAGGGACTGACAGGAAAAGAGACTGAAGAAAGTGACAAGGAGTGAAACACATATGTTTATCGACTTGTGTTTCTCCTTATTAGGCTGTCAGCAGGCATGGTGTTTTACTCATATCCTCAAAGTTCAGTTAGTTCAAAATGGAAACTCAGTTGTGTTTTGGTTGGTTGTTTTTGACATATTAAGGAACCTAAAGGAAATGTGTTTCCAATATGATTTGTTTTCCTTCCACAATCTGTAACATAAAAGAAGGTATACAATGTTCATGGTTAACATTGCCAGTGAAATTGGTAGAATGTCCCCCTGTTCCTTTTTCACATCTCCCGATTCCAATCACATTACCGTTACAGGGACCAGTGTCATTCAAGGATGTGGCTGTGGACTTCACCCAGGAGGAGTGGCAGCAGCTGGACCTTAATGAGAAGATAACATACAGGGATGTGATGCTGGAGAACTACAGCAATCTAGTTTCTGTGGGTGAGGAGAGTGTGCTTTCTGAATGCTTCCAGTTTAATGATTTTTATTCCTGAGTTTGGAGAAATAAGTGATAAGACTATTTAATTGCTTTTAGGCACTAGGTAGAGTGTTTATATGTTTACTTCTTCAATGAAAGTTTCTAATTTTGAGAAGGTTAAAAAATGGGACACTTTATTATGCTGTTTATGAAGCAACATAATCTTTTACTTCAGAGGTTCTGAAGTCAAACAACTGGTCCAAGTCCTTCTCCTTTTCTCATTAACAGGGTGTGATATTACCAAACCAAATGTTATCATTAGGTTGGAGCAGGGAGAAGAGCCATGGATAATAGAGAGTGAATTTTCAAGTCAAAGTAGTCCAGGTAAGTTAATAGAGTATCAAATGTTAAAAAATAGTCCTCCCAAACCCTTGAGAGCAACTAGAGACAGTGATATATATGTACTAAGTACCCTCAGTAACACCTCCCAGTGCTCAAATATGACTTCCCCACAGCACACATACAAAAGCTTTTTTTTTTAAATTTTGCATTTGCAGGGATTTTTTGTTTTAACAGTACTGAGGATCCAGTCACTTCTTTCTTTTGCATTGTCAGTAACTTGCCTACTCCCCACCATCATAGAATTCTTTTGTTCTCAGACATTCAGAAGTCTGACATGAAAACTAACTTGAGACTTTCATGTTCATTCTTTTTATCTTTCATCTTCTTCTCTCTGCTGTAAAATACCTCAGGCTTCTTTTTTGCCCCCCAATTTCATTTAACTCTGTAGGCATTTAGATATCAAAACTTCATTTTTCACCTAAGCTTGTGAATTCAGTTGCACCCTATAGTGGTGTATGTTATTCCCAAAATCCACCCCCAGTTGGTGTGGTGGTACAACACTCATTGTGCTTCCTCTCTTTCCCCAATTGTTCATTGTATCTTGTCTGTTCATCCTTCTTTCCCCACATTTGGAGTAATTCTTTGTCCACAGTATAAAGTCAGGAAGTGTTAATTTCATGAGTGAATTTTGGTTCACTTTCTTGCCTTTTCAGGACTGTCCCCTAGGAACTGTTTTCCACTCTTTTTAGTGTTCCTTGTATCCTTTGAAAGGGTTCATCTAGTCTTGATTTTAAGGCTTTTTTTCTTTGTATTTATGTAGCTTACATCAAAATTGATATGTCTGACATCTTTAAGCTGTCATGTAGTTGACAACATGGCAGCACTGGTATAATAGTCTGCTTCCTTCTTTCTCAGTGTCTGATGATAAACTATGAACTTTCCCAAATCATGAGCTCTCTCTACCTTCCTCACCTCCCATTCTTTATGAGGTCATGCTGGTCTTCTCTTCATAGTTTCTGCTTTTTTTGTCTTTTCTGAAATGCCATACAGATTGTCAGCACGTTCTCTGTTTCTTCTGATGTTAGTGTTCATGAATGTTCTCTCATACCTGGATTGCAGTGCATCCTATCTGGAAATCCCAAAGTCTCTTCATCTGAACCATACAGGTGATCTTATCACTAGCCTGACACAACAAGCCTATGACTATTCTGTTGCTTCTTTTTTTTCTTTTTTTTTTTTTTTTTGAGTTGGAGTCTCACTCTGTTGCCCAGACTGGAGTGCAGTGGCCGCTCCCGGCCACCGCAGCCTCGACCTGCTGGGCTCCGGCGATCCTTCCGCCTCAGCCTTCCAAGTAGCCGGAATTACAGGCATGTGCTACCACACCTGGCTTATTTTTTGATTTATTGTAGAGATGAGGTCTCGCCTGCCCAGGTGGGTCTCGAACCCGCGGGCTCAGGCAATCTACTCACCTCAGCCTCCCAAAGGCGCAGGATTACAGACTGAGCCACCGAGCCCGGCTTCTGTTGCTTCTTAAGTGGAATTTAAATTATTTTCTTCTCAGGTCCTACAATATGTTCCTATTTTGGCCTATCAAATTAATGTCCTGTTTCCCCAAACTCTTATTAAATTCCAGTTGGTCTAGATTTCTCTGTATCTTCTATTGAAATGATCATTGTCCCTTTCTTTTCTGTGCACTTTGTACACTTTACTTGCCCAGATAATACACTATCTTCCCTCCCTCTCTTCCTTTCATTCTTTTGTTTATTTTTAAGTTGTGGTTAAAAAAACACAAAATTTGCCATTGTAACCATTTTGGGGGGAGGGTAGTAGGGTCTCACTCTGTCACCCAGGCTGGAATACAGTGACACAAGTACAGCTCATCACAGCCTTAATCTTGGCTCAGGCAAGCCTTCTGCCTCAGCCTCCAGAGTAGCTGGGACGACGGGCATGCACCACCCCACCTGGCTAATTTTTATTTTTTAATTTTTTGCAGAGACAGGGTCTTGCTATGTCGTCTAGACTGGTCTTGAACTCCTAGGCTGAAATAGTCCTCCTGCTTTAGCCTCCCAAAGTGCAGTGAGCCTCTACACCTGGCCTGTAATCATTGTTAAGTGTATAGTTCAGTAATGTTAACTATATTTGCAGTGTTGTACGATAAACTCTAGAATTTCATATTTGAACTTAAAGGGTTAACCCACTGATGTTTTCCTCATTACTCATTCACTATTCCAGTCTTTCTCTTCTTTCTTTTTTTTTTTTCTTGAGTCTCACTCTGTTTAGGAAATTTTCTTGCGTCTCAACTCTGTTGCTTAGGCTGGAGTGCAGTGGCACACTCACAGCCACCGCAGACTCAACCTGCTGGGCTCAGGTGATCCTTCCGCCTCAGCCTTCCAGGTAACTGGGACTATAGGCGTGCAACCACCATGCCCAGCTAATTTTTGATTTACTCTACTTTGACTTACAATATATACTAGGCATTCAGTAAACTTTTTATTGGCTAACCAAGGAGCTAGGTAAATGAAAGATCTTTATTATTAATCCATTGAGAGATCATTTATTATAAACTAAAGGTTCTAATAAAAAATTTATTGAGGTTAGAATAGAACCTGTAAGCACCCATCTGATTCAGAGTAGGAACTACTACTTTAATTTCTATTCAGAGAGATTGAAAAAAAAAATGTGAATACTTTCAAGAAGCATAAGTAGGCCGGGCTCAGTGGCTCAGCCTATAATCCCAGCACTTTGGGAGGCCGAGATGAGTGGATTGCTTGAGCCCACGGGTTCGAGACCCGCCTGGGCAACTCGACGAGACCTCATCTCTACAACAAATCAAAAATTAGCTGGGCATGCTAGCATGCGCCTGTAGTTGCAGCTACTTGGAAGGCTGAGGCAGAAGGATCGCCAGAGCCCAGCAGGTTGAGGCAGTGGTAGCCGGAAGCAGCCATTGCACTCCAGTCTGGGTGTCAGAGTGAGACTCCAACTCAAAAAAAAAAAAGAAGGATAAGTTTGGGTTAGGAAATAAGACCACAGTTGAATGAACTAGTTTAAAATTCAGCGTTTGCATGGAAAATTTATATTCCATGCACATTTTACAATTTTGTGTTAAATCCATTTAATTTAATTTTTTTTTTTTTCAGTTGTAGTCTCATTCCGTTGCCCAGGCTGGAGTGCAGTGGCACACACACTCACAGCTGCCCATTGTCGACTTGCTGGGCTCTGGCAATCCTTCTGCCTCAGCCTTCCAAGTAGCTGAAACTACAAGCACACGCTACCATGCCCAGCTAATTTTTTATTTATTGTAGAGACGAGGTCTCACTAAGTTGCCTGAGCTGGTCTCAAACCCGCAGGCTCAGGCAATCTACTTGCTTCAGCCTCCCAAAGTGCTGGGATTACAGGCTGAGCCACCAAGCCCGTCCTGTTTTAAAATTTAAGAGAATGAGTTCTGTGAACTAGGAAGAGATTTGATACATGTTTTGATTTTCCCCAAAGTAGAGATTTGAGGCTTTGAGAATAACCAATGCTGAGAGTCCAACTGAGTGAGGAAGAACATAAGCACAGACTTATGATTGGGAATATACAAGGCATAGCCTACGTTTCCAGGAGCAGAGATGTTGGAAGATTAGTGCAGTGCTAGCTTTGAATACATATTGTGAAACCAGGTCATGAAAAATATTGTTAGTAACTTTTCTTTTGGTGATTGGGGTGTTTGGCTCAGGGATGTAGTTTTCTTACCACAGTACTATCAGTGATGCATTAAATATAGTGATAGCAATTAACAATAGTTCAGAGGATCCAAAAATTTGTAAGATATGTAAAAATAAGAGTTAATAATGTAGAGCAGCTTTAGGAATCTGATATTTAAAGTTTTACACCAGACCGGGCTTGGTGGCTCAGCCTGTAATCCCAGCACTTTGGGAAGCCGAGGTGAGTAGATTGCCTGAGCCCGTGGGTTTGAGACCAGTCCGGGCAACTTGGCAAGACCTCATCTCTACAATAAATCAAAAAAATAAGCCAGGTATGGTAGCACACACCTGTAGTTCTGGCTACTTGGAAGGCTAAAACAGAAGGATTGTCAGAGCCCAGCAGGTTAACACTGGGATGGCAGTGAATGTGCCACTGCATTCCAGCCTGGGTGACAGAGTGAGACTCCATCTCAAAAAAAAAAGGAAGAAAGAAAAAGAAGTTTTACACCAAATGAAACCCAGGAATTTGAGAACTCTTGTTTGCTTTCAGAATTGAGTAAAAGTATTATGCAGAGACATGACTGGTTTTGGAAATTTAAGTCAGCAAATTGAAAGAAAATTGATGACTAAACTTAGTGACCATTTGTTTTTTGTAGTAACAAACTACTCTAAGCAGTTTACATGCACTAGCTAGTTCTTTCATAGCCCTATGGCTTAGGCACTATTATTTACATTCCAGATGAGTACAACAGCATCACAGTTAAGTAACTTTTGCCCAAGGTCTCCATCCAGTAAATTGTTGGAGATAGGCTGGAGGTAGCGTGCTCCCGTGTTCATGCTTTTAACCACTATACTATATTGGACAAGCAGGAAAAGTAGAATTTGATGGACGTGCAAGTTCAGTTAGCATTAAATAACACTTGTCAGATGCTTCAAAGGTCTGATCTTGTTTTTTAAGATACCATGTCCTCTGGTCTACTTTACATTTCTTTTGAACATTTTTGTGCCTGGATCTTCCTCCAGGTGAATATCAATCAAGGTTTGCAAATTGGACCCCTGGTTGTAGAACCTCTCTCTAAACATGAAGAAATTGGAGTATTTGGAATGTTTATTTGCATGTATGTGCAAAATAGAAAGGCACAGATTTTGGAAAGGTCTAGGTTAGTGAGGGTGTTACCATAGTAGGCTTGATATGAAGTGATATCTTATAGTTAAATACAAATTATAATCTGTTTTGCCAAAACATAATCCATACTTGAATATTTCCTTTATATACACACATAGTAATTGATTTTGGTCTCTCACTGACTGTATTTGCTCTGGGTCTTCCCGTTTTTGCCTGTACTCTTTCAATGACTGCTCTCTGCTCACCATTTCTTGGGTTTATTTCACCTTTTCTACCAAAGTTTTGAACATATTTGTAAAGTAACAAGAATACTTGTATTCAGTGTGAATTTATTCTTCCTTTTTCCACTACTGCTGCATTCTGTTTCGCTATTATCACTTCCCTGTCTGCCCCGCCCCTGTGTGTGTGTGTGTGTGTGTGTGTGTGTTATTAGAAATAAAAGGAAATGTAATTTTTTTTTAATTTGTGGAAATTGGCCCAAAAACCAGTGTCAGTCCCACAATAGGGCTCTTGAATATGGTACCATTCCCTTTCTGTAGCTGATGTGTTCAGATTCACAAAGTTTGTTTAATTTTATTCCATTTTAGAAGAAGTCTGGGAAGTTGATGATCTGATAGAGAGAATCCAAGAAAATGAGGAAAAACATTCAAGGCAAGCTGGTCTGATCAACAGCAAAACCCTGACTGAAGAGAGAGAGAATACATTTGATAAAACCTATTTGGAAACAAGCCTTGCTCCTTCAAGCATAGCAGCTCATAATTGTATCTCATGTGGAAAGAATTTAGAATCTATTTCAGAATTAATTAGTAGTGATGGAAGCTATGCCAGAAAAAAACCTGATGAATGTAATGAATGTGAGAAAACATATCATGGAGAAAAAACATACGAATTTAATAAAAATGGAGACACTTACTCTCAAAATGAAGAAAATATTCTTCAGAAAATTAGTATTTTGGAGAAACCCTTTGAATATAATGAATGCATGGAAGCCTTAGACAATGAAGCCGTTTTCATTACTCATAAGAGAGCTTATATAGGAGAGAAGCCCTATGAGTGGAATGATTCTGGACCGGACTTCATACAGATATCAAATTTTAATGAATATCAGAGATCACAAATGGAAATGAAGCCCTTTGAATGCAGTGAATGTGGAAAATCCTTTTGTAAAAAGTCAAAATTCATTATACATCAGAGGGCCCACACAGGAGAGAAACCTTATGAATGTAATGTCTGTGGGAAGTCCTTCAGCCAAAAAGGAACCCTCACTGTACATCGGAGATCACACTTAGAGGAGAAGCCCTATAAATGTAATGAATGTGGGAAAACCTTTTGTCAGAAGTTACACCTCACTCAGCATCTAAGAACTCATTCAGGAGAGAAACCCTATGAATGTAATGAATGTGGGAAAACCTTCTGCCAAAAGACACATCTCACTTTACACCAGAGAAATCATTCAGGAGAGAGACCCTACCCATGTAATGAATGTGGGAAATCCTTTTCCCGCAAGTCAGCTCTCAGTGACCATCAGAGAACTCACACAGGAGAGAAACTTTATAAGTGTAATGAATGTGGAAAATCCTACTACCGGAAGTCTACCCTAATTACACATCAGAGGACTCATACAGGAGAGAAGCCCTATCAATGTAGTGAGTGTGGAAAGTTCTTTTCTCGAGTGTCATACCTCACTATACACTACAGGAGTCATTTAGAAGAGAAACCTTATGAATGTAATGAATGTGGCAAAACCTTCAATTTAAATTCAGCTTTTATTAGACATCGGAAAGTACACATGGAAGAGAAATCCCATGAATGTAATGAATGTGGAAAGTTCTCTCAGATGTCATATCTCACTGACCATCATACAACTCATTTAGGAGAGAAACCCTATGAATGTAATGAATGTGGGAAAACCTTTCTTGTAAATTCAACCTTTAGTGGGCACCAGTCACTTCCAAAAGGGGAGAAATCCTATGAATGCAATATATGTGGAAAATTATTTTCTGATTTGTCATACTACACCGAACACTATGGAAGTCATTCAGAAGAGAAACCCTATGGATGTAGTGAATGTGGGAAAACCTTCTCCCATAATTCATCCCTCTTTAGACATCAAAGAGTACACACAGGCGAGAAACCCTATGAATGTTATGAATGTGGGAAATTCTTCTCTCAGAAGTCATATCTCACCATACATCATCGAATTCATTCAGGAGAGAAACCCTATGAATGTAGCAAATGTGGAAAAGTCTTCTCTCGGATGTCAAACCTCACTGTACACTATAGAAGCCATTCAGGAGAAAAACCCTATGAATGTAATGAATGTGGGAAAGTCTTTTCTCAGAAGTCATACCTCACTGTACATTATAGAACTCATTCAGGAGAGAAACCATATGAATGTAACGAATGTGGGAAAAAATTTCATCACAGATCAGCCTTCAATAGCCATCAGAGAATTCATAGAAGGGGAACTATGAATGTACTTGATGTGGAAAACCTCTGAAGTCAAATTTCAAGTTTTAGAGAACTCTCTGAATATAATGAATATGAGAAATCCACTAAGGGATCAAATGTTATTTTATCTGAGAGTTCAGGCTCCTGATGGTGAAAAGCATTTAGGCATTAGACTCATTTAAATCTGAATTTTAATAGAGGAGAATGCCTAAGAATGCCATAAGAAGCAAAGCCTTTAGCAAGATTATACAACTAATTGGACACTAGATAATGTATGCAGGAGTGAAATTTTATAAATATTTAATATTTATTTTGGATTCAAATTGTATTTACATATCAGGGAATTATAGTAAGACAAAACCTGTCAATATGCTGAATGTGGAATCTTGGAAATTGTGCTAAAAGCCATATTTATGATGTAAAATCAGACATTTATAGGAAAGATACCAGAAACTGTCAGCTCTGAATTAACCTTCATTGTATAAAATGAAGTTTTAAAATTGTCAGGGCTTGATCATGAGTACAGTTAAATCAAATATGAGGGGGGACCCCAAAAAGCCTGAACTTATTTTTTGGAGTGTGGGCCCCTTGTAGTACAGGCTTCTTCTGCTTAGGTAAGTGTTCTAGGAATCCATTGGCATCGGTGTGCCAGCTAGTGTTTAAATTTAAATTCAGCTGCATTCAGCTTCAGTGATTTTTTTTTTTCTTTCAACATCTTTGCCCATTTTATGATGAATGATTTACAAATGTACCTGTCCACACTGCTGAATATTCAGCAGTTTTTGACGAAAATGGTATGACCCCCGTGCCCCACCTTCACTATTCACCTGGTCTCACCACAAGCAACTATGAAAAAACTCAAAGGGAGATGTTTTGCCAATGTGAAAGAGGTGAAACAAGAAACCACAGAAGCACTAAAAGGCATCAGAGTTGACGAGTTTAAGAAACTTGAGCGAGCGGTAGAAGTGTCTTGATAAATGTATTGAATCAAACAGAGAGTACTTTAAAGGTGACTGACGTTTAAACATGTAAGAATAAACACGGAATTTTTTATAAATTCTGATTTTTTGAGGGTCCCCCTTTACAAGTGTGTATGGCAGGTTTGATCATATTTTTTAAATGGAATCTAGTGGTAATTCTATGCAATTCTATGCAAGTTTGGATTTGAATAATTTGTGAAATGGTGGTATTATTTGAATATTAGGATGGCAAAATGTACTAAGGTGGGATGTATTATTGGTGAGATATTTGATAGGTTTGAAATAGTAAAGTACATAATTTTCTATTTAGAAGTATTTACAAGTGGGTTTTTAACATGTATCATCATTGGAGGAGGCAGTGATTTTGTAAAGTTTTCAGCTGCACCTGAGGAAAACGAGATTTTTAAAAATACTATTTTGATAAACTATGCATACCTAATTTGGAGTTGTCTAAGTCTAGTTCAGTGAAAGAGAACAAGCATACTGCTTATGGTCTCCAAAATATCCCCAAATCTCATGCCACTCTTCTTTAATCCACAAGTTTGTGCAGTGCCAATATCATGTAATTCAGAAATGTTAATTATAAATTTTTCTTTGATACAAATACGGTGTCATTTTATGCATTTCCCCTTATTTCTCAGTATTTTGAGAAAAAGTTTATGTGTCTGTGTGTGTTTTTTTAGAGGTGAGAAAGCAGGAGTTTATTAAGAAGACAAGAAAAGCTCCCAAGTGGGAGGGGACCTGAAAAAGGGTTGCCTGGAAAAAAATTAATACAAGTTTTTTGCAGACTTTTTTTGGCCAGTTAACTTAATATTCTTTCTCTTTCATTTCTGATGGGAGAAGTTTGGATACCTACCATTTCTTCACAACAGAGAGGGTAAATCCTGATTAGTCAAAACCAATAATGATAATTTTATTCTGATTACCAATACGTTGTTTATAGTGGTGATATGACCCAATACTGGGCAAACAAGACAAAGATTGATTTGTTCTGAAAAAAACATAAAATGCTACTCCAATAGATCTTCTGAGAATGCAAGTGCAGTTTAATATTCAAGTCAATCACTGTTATTCACCATGTGAAACAAAGTGATCTGGTATGCAGAACATTCATGTGGTAAAATTAATGTCCATTCATGATTTTAGTAAACTATGGATAGGAAAGGACTACCTTAATTGGATGAAGAGTAATTTAACCCTTTGCACTCAGAGACTTCTTGCAGATCACCTGCCAGCAACTCAATCACACCTTTTTATTAAATAGTGAAATATGAATCATTTCATATTAAATAGTATAGCATTGCAACCAATTATTGTAATGATATTCGACTTATAATGGAATGTTGGACATTAAAGAACTTATGACCCCAAAAATCAAAATGTTATGTTTTAGATTTGTCTCACTCATGTGGTAACGTGCAATAGTAATTTGTTTGACATCTTCCATCTGGTGTTTTTCTATTCAAGCAGACAATACAGTCTTGTTTTCCTCCCACATTGATGCTATGTATTTTATTGTCTGTTCTGTGCACCACTGTGATGAAAGCACTTCACACATTCTCTTTCTACATAGTGCCAGCTGATATGTTTTTACATATATCAGTATATATGCCATCTCTTTATTTGCTTTTTCATGCAGTCTGAATGGAAAACTCTAAAGAAACACATTTTTGAAAAATTTGACTGGCATAAGTTTGTCCTGTGTAATCACCAGCAATCTCTTTATGTCCCCTGACGGGACATCCAGGTGGTTTGTTTTACAATGTCTCTTCAGAGGGGATATCAGTGCAAGGGGTTAAACTATAACAAACAACATGGCAAAATACTGAATAGTTTGTCCCAGGATCACAAACATAGACAAAGATATCTGCTATCATTGATTTTATTCAGCATTGTGCAGAAGGACTTTGCCAAGAAAAACAAAAGGCTAGAGATTGGGAAAGAAGTAAAAGTTTAAATAAATAAATGAATAAAATTTGTATTTGCAGATGGCATGACTTTATATTCTGAGGAACATACAGATAGTAAGTTTGGTGAGGTCCCTGCATACGAGGTTATGCAAAAAAAAAAAAAAAAAATTCAGCAAAAAAATGGAGAATGAAATTTTCAGAAGCTGTGTCGCTTATGAAAAATCCTTGAATTCCTAAGGGAAAAGTTAGCTAACATTTTCAAGAACTGTATCCAGGGGAAAAAAATTGCAGGCCAGGCACAGTGGCTCAGACCTGTAATTCCAGCATTTTGGGAGGCTGAGGCAGGCAGATTGCTTGAGTTCAGAAGTTTGAGATTAACCTGGGCAACACAGCAAAACCTTGTCTCTACAAAATCAAGAAATTTAGCCAGGTGTGATGGTACACACATAGTTCTAGCTACTCAGGATGCTGAGGTGGAAAGCACCTAAACCCAGAAGGTTGAGGCTGCTGTGAGCCGTGATTGTGCCACTGCACTCCAGCCTGGATGACAGAGTGAGACCCTCAGTCAAAAAAAAGTACAAAGCAGTGAGAGGGACATATCTTGCTCCTGGATTATAGCACAGTCTCAAAAGTATCACTTTCCCCCCAAATTATTAATATGTTCAATGCAATCTTAATCAAAATCCTAGCAAGTTCTTTGATGTGAATTAACAGATTCTAAAATTTATATGAATAGTCAAAAAACCAATAGTAGTGAAGGCTATTTTGTAGAATAGACAGGATTTAAATCCCCAAATATCAAGACCTGTTATAAAGCCATGGAAGTTATGGTGATATGATATTGGCACAAGGCTGAACAAACTGACCGGTGGAACAGAATTAAGATTCCAGAGATACACCTATACATACATAGTCCTGAATTTTAATAAAGGTGACAAAGTGTTCTTTGTTGGTGTGTAGCAGTACTACATAGTGTTTTAGTTTTTATTTATAAAAAAGACAAATGATGTTCTTTCTAATGCATTTCATCAATTACAATTCATAATTTAATAGAAAATAGAAAAGTCAATTTGAGATGGATTGCAGATCTAAACATGAAATGTGAAATAAAGCTTTATAAAGAAACCTAAGAGACTGTAACCTTAGAATAAGCAAAGTTTTCATAAGCAAGACCCAAAAAACACTAAACCATAAAATAAAAGCTATTAATACTAAGTTTAAGAACTTCCGTCTACCAGAAAGACACCATTAAGAAAGTGAGTAGAAAACCACAGAGGGGGAGAAGATATCTGCAGTTCATATATGGCAACAATTGAGTGTAGAAAAGGTGGTAAACTTCTTCAATAAGGAGCTAGACGGTAAATATGTTGGGCTTTGTCTCTGTCACAACTGCTCAACTTCACTATAATAGTGTGAAAATGGCCATATGCAGTGTGTAAACAAATGAGTATGCTGCTTTCCATTAAAACTTTATTCACAAACCCAGGTAGCAGACTGGATTTGGTGTGCAACTCATAGTCATCTGGCCCCTGATCTAGAATATATAAAGAGCACCTACAAATCAACAAGAGGGGAGGGGGAATTGAAAAGACAAAAGACTTGGCCATTCACAAAGGAGGATGTACAAATGGCCAATAAACATGAATAGGTGTGTTATCTATATTAGTAATCAGAGAAGTGCACATTTAAAACACTATGTAGGCAGGCACAGTGGCTCATACCTTTGGGAGGCAGAGGCCAGAGGATTGCCTGAGCCCAGGGGTTTGAGACCAGCCTAGACAACTTGGTGAGACCTCGTCTCTACAATAAATTCAAAAATTAGCTGGGCATGGTGGCACATGCCTGTAGTTTCAGCTGTTTGGAAGGCTGAGGTGGAAGGATCCCCTGAGCCCAGCAGGTCCAGGCTGCAGTGGCCAGGAGCATGACACTGTATTCCTGCCTGAGCGACAGAGTGAGACTCTGACTAAAAAAAAGTAAATAATGAAAACCCACTACGTAGTACTGCTACCCACCCACTTAAATTATTAAAAGGCATGAAAAAGCATTATGTTTTGGCAAGGATGTAAGCAACAGAAACTCTACACTACTGGTGGAATTGCTCATTGGAAAAGCCACTTTTGAGAGCTGGCACTTAAAGCCAAGCATGTATACCCTTTTACCCAAACTTGCAGAAATGCATGTTTATGTCCACCAAAGGTTATGCACCAGAATGTTAATAGTGTAAAACTGCAAAAAGCAACTGTCTTAAAACA